ACCTCGTTTAGTTTAGCGTCGAGTGAAGTAGTACGTACTAGGTTCGTATAGAGTTCTTATGCAAGAATGCTAATTGAAATGGACATCACCAAGCCACTGCCTAGGAATGTGAAACTTCAGGATCCTAAGGGGAGGCTAATCCAACAGGAAGTTACTTATGATTGGGAGCCAAAATACTGCACTAAGTGTTTGAAAATAGGACATGATTGTACTGAGATCAAAAATGCACAACCACAAAGAATGATCCAACAGAGGAAGGTGATCAAAGGCAAGCAGGTCTGGCTCAGAACAGATAGAGATGGTGCCAATGAAAAGAAGGAGACTGCACAAAAGCAAGTGACTGCATTAACTCAGCTGGCAGAGTCAGAGTCGGAAGGGAAAGATGCACAAAAGAATGATGAGGGGTGGATAACAATCCTTGGTAAATCAGCAGCAAGGGCAGCCAAAGCCAAACACAATGAAGAACAGGAACTAACTGGGAGCACTGGATTCCAAAGTTTGAAAAATGATCAAACATATGATGAACCAGGTACAAGCAAAGTGCAGCAAAGTAGCCCAGGGGTGCAAGAATTGTATCATCATCCTTATTTCATACCAGTATGAGTGTAATAACGTGGAACGTTAAGGGGTTGAATAAAACTTATAAGCAAAAGGAGGTAAAGGAGTCCATAAAAGGAAATAATAAAGCAATAATAGCTTTGGTTGAACATAGAGTAAAAGAACACAAAACTAATGAGGTAATTAAAAAGATTGCTTCTGGATGGAAGTGGATATCCAACTCTAGTACAAGGCACAAAAGTAGAATATGGGTAATTTGGGACCCTAGGATCTATACATTTGAACCAGTTGAAGTTGATGAACAATTGATACATGGCCAGATTAGAATAATCTCAAAGTCCATCACATTTGGATTCTCAGCAATATATGGCTTGCATACCATCAAAGATAGATTGAATTTGTTGAGGAAGTTGAGGCAGATTCATAGTATGCAACAAGGTCCTTGGTTAGCTATGGGGGATTATAATGCAGTCTTACATGAACAAGACAGACAACATGGATCTGAGATTCAAGATATGGAGACAAAAGATTTTAAGGAGTATATGATTGATACTGGGATGAATGAATTACAATATGTGGGAAGGAATTACACATGGACAAACAACCATACATATAGCAGGATAGACAAGGCTCTTGTGAATGCTAGCTGGATGATGACAATGCCAAACTTGAAAGTGCAGGTGCTAGAGCCTCTTGTGTCTGATCACTCACCACTGAAACTAATGATCACTCAGGTACAGGGAAAGAAGAACAGACCATTCAGATTTTTCAACTGTATAGCTGATCATCCCCAATTCATACAGAAAGTGAAGCTAGCTTGGGAAGAAAGGGGTACAAAAGGGAAGATGCAGGCAGTCTGGAATAACCTCAAAAAGACAAAGGAGGTCATCAAAGAAATAAACATACAACACTATAAAGGGGTTGATGAAAGGATTAAAGAGACCAGGAAGGAGCTGAAGATAGTACAAGAGGAAATGAGCTATAGACTACAGAACATAGAGCTAATTGAGAAAGAGAAAGCCTTGAAATGTGAATTAGAAAAAATGGGTAATGATTGAAGAGAGTATATACAAGCAAAGATCCAGAGTTCAATGGCTGAAGCTGGGGGATTCAAACTCAGCCTATTTCTTTGCACAGATGAAGAATAGGAGTAATTTTAATGGAATCCAGATTCTAACAAATGACATGGGAACTCAACTAGTGATAGAGGATGATATAGAAGCAGAAATATTGGGATATTATAAGAAATTGCTGGGGCCAAGAGCAGACAACATTCCAGCCATTAACCCAAATGTCATGAAACTGGGAGCAGTATTAAATATAGATCAGCAGTTACAGCTTATCAAGCCAGTGACTAAGGAAGAAGAATGGGAAGCATTGAAGGAAATCGGTGATTTAAAAGCCCTAGGATATGATGGTTTTAATGTAGTGTTTTTCAAGAAATCCTGGCAAATTATAGGAGAGAATGTGACACAGGCTGTATTGGAATTCTTTGAAACAACTCAAATGTATAGACCTATCAACTGTACAGCTATTACCTTAGTTCCTAAAGTCAGGAATCCTGCTAGCATTAAAGAGTACAGACCTATCTCCTGTTGTATTGTGCTATACAAAGTGATTTCTAAGGTCTTAACTAAGAGGTTGCAATGAGTTATGGATACACTGATTGATAGTACACAGTCTGCATTTGTTCCTGGCAGAGTAATCACAGATAACATCATCCTTAGCCATGAACTTGTGAAAGGATATGGAAGGAAAGGGGTATTACCTAGGTGTATGATGAAACTGGATATGCAAAAAGCCTATGACTCAGTTGAATGGGCTTTCATGGAATAGGTACAGAATACTTTGGCTTTCCCAGAGCAATTTGTGAGGTGTATCATGATTTGTATGGAGACTGTCACCTATACAGTTCTGATTAATGGTGCACTGACAAAGCCATCTGAAGCTAGGAAGGGGTTGAGACAAGGAGATCCAATTTCTCCATTCATGTTTCTACTGGCAATGGAATACTTGGCAAGAAGCTTAAAGACATTAAACCAGATCCCAGACTTCAACTACCATCCCAAGTGTGCAAAGATGCAAATCTTGCAACTTGGATTTGCTAATGATCTTTTATTGTTTTACAGGGTTATATAGGATAAGTCAAGTTACTATTTCATTGCTTCATGGAGTTTTCAAAGGCTCTGGACTAGTGATCAACAAAAACAAAAGTTCAATTTTTTTTGGAGGAGTCACACAAGATGCACAAGAGAAAATCCTAGAGTTTCTAGGAATTCAGAGAGGTGACCTACCAGTCAGATACCTGGGTGCTCCTCTAAGCACTAAAAGAATATCAATAGCACAATGCCAACCTTTGATTGAAAAAATAGTAGGCAGAATAACCTCATGGACTGCTAAGTTTCTATCTTATGCTGGGAGGATTCAACTGATAAAGAGTGTTCTGTTCTCCATCCAAACTTACTGGGCACAAATCTTTGTACTCCCTAAAAAGATCAAAAAGCTAATTGAAGCAATCTGCAGAAGCTTTCTATGGATAGGAGAAGGTAATGTTTCAAAAAAGGCTCTATTGGCATGGGAGAAAGTCTGTCTCCCCAAATCAGCTGGGGGATTTAATGTCATGAACATAAGTATCTGGAACAAAGATGCCATACGTAAACAGTACTGGAACCTTTGCAAAGAAAAGAAGAAGCTGTGGATACAATGGATGCATAGCTACTACATCAAAGATAGGAACATATGGGAAATCCAACTGAAGCAAACATCATGGATGGTGAGCAAGATCATGAAAGCAAAGGAGACATTTATGGATGCAGGATTCAGCTATGATGATATCATAAAGATGAACAACTGCTCGATTAAATTCATGTATCACGGACTGCGAGGAAGATTTGATAAAGTAAGTTGGAGAAGAGTTGTTTCTCAAACGCAGGATGTCCCAGGTGGACCTTTGTATTAACTATGACAGCTCATGGTAAACTATACACAAGAGACAGACTACAGAGATGGGAATACAAGTTGATCAAGATTGTGTCCTATGCAAACGAGCTAGTGAAACCATCCAGCATCTGTATTTCGAATGTCCATATGCAAAGTCTCGCCATCGAACTTACACTCCAAGTATTTTGTCTTGGTCATGCTCAACTTGAAACCTTTAGATTCCAAGGTCTGCCTCCATACCTCTAACTGTGCATTCCCACTGTCTTGCATCTCGTCAATCAATACAATATCATCTGCAAATAGCATGCACCACGGTACCTTCCCTTGTATGTGGTGCGTCAGTACGTCCATCACTAGAGCAAACAAAAAAGAGGTGAGTGCTAACCCCTGATGCAACACCATCATAACCGAAAAATGGTCCGAGTCTCCACCCACCATACTCACTCGGGTCTTTGGTCCATCATACATCTCTAACTGTTACTCTAGTCTATGAAGCCTCTAATGAAGTATTGAAAACACGGATTGTCTGAAAATACTGAAGACTGTAAGGTAATGATAATGTCCTGAAAGAACTGGGATCACCAAATAGCTGGTACGAGAATCCTAGCACTCTGAATCGTCAAACTATAAATAGTTACCTGCATCGTAAAATGCAGGCCCCGGTCAAAAGGGACATCAGTACATTTGAATTGCACTTATATGTAAAGCAACTGCAAGACAGAACTATAAATGTTGAAACTGATACTGAGCTGATAACTGAGAATTGATAATTGATAACTGTTGAAACTAAAACTGAAATGATAACTGATAACTGAAATGAACAAAGGAAGTAAGGATATGAATACTCCCTCTTCTGAATGATGAACAACCTGTTTATCTAAATAAACTACGGCCTCGGGCCCAATATATAAGTGCACAAGTTACGACCTTAGGCCCAAGTATACGTTTACATAACTACATCATCAGGCCCAAAAAATACATAAAGCATAAACTACGGCCTCATGCCCAAACATGCATAAAGCATAAACTACGGCCTTAGGCCCAAATATGCATAAAGCATATAAACTACGGCCTTAGGCCCAAATCAGGTGTTCAATATTCAGGGATTTAAATTCAGGAACTGAGAATCATACTGCAATATGTGATGCTGAAATACTGAATCATATTGAGTTACATGATACTGGAATACTGAATAGGACTAGATTGAGACATGTATCTTGAACTGATTATGAAAACTGAAACTTCAATTTTTTATGACATGCTGAGTAATCTAGACTGAGACTCATGGGCATCAAACCCAAGTCTTTATTTATTAGGCACTAAGCTCACAACGTTCAGAATGAAAGTCATGAACGAGTTACGAAGCTAGAGAATAGAAGTTCTGCAACTATTCAAGGATCTAGGCTTAACTATATTTCTGAGGCAATTAGTAATGTCGCAAAAGAAACGTAGTGTAGGGAGAATCATTAATATTTCTAAACATATAGAGTTAGCCTCACATACCTTAACTTCCTGCTCTTGAGCATAATACAACATTCGCCAACCCTTTCAACTTTAATGTATATCAATACAAGTCAAAGAGATTCCAAATTAGGAATAATACTCATGTTTTGGTCACATAGGCATTTTATCAAACACTTGGTGGATATAAAGCTTCACAACCCTCAATAATGGTGTTTCTACACCCATTAACATATTCTCTTGCTCCGAGATAAATTCTAAAACCTCAAATTGCTATAATCAATATCATTTTTTATCACCCATAAGATAAATGATATCCTTAATCAATAATCAACAACCAACAATCCAAGCATATAATCGTTCATGCTTTTCTATTAAACCTATCAACTCATATCTCATGAAAGTAGAATCTATAATCATTAATCCAATGCTATAATCAATTAGAGGATGAAGGTATTACCTTTTGACGTTCAATCCTCTTGAATTTGAGTTCTAGGGTTTCTTCTCTCAACAATGATGTCCCAATCGAATATATAATGATTAAAGGGTTTACCCATGTTAATAAAGTTTTGGAGAATTGAAATTAACTTAGAATCACCATTAGAACTTACCTTGGATAGTGGAGGAACCTTTGAGGAATTAGGTTCTTGAGAGTTTCCCTTTCTAGAGCAAGTTTTTGTGTTTTAGGGGTGTGGGGGACGAGGTAGGGCTTATAAAATGACTCCTCGGGTGCGCTCTTGTGCACCTGAACATGCAGTATGGCAGTTGCACGGGACCAGTAAATCGCACAAACATTTTTTTACAAAGATCCGTTTGGGCTTCACAATATATTGTTGGATAGTTGTTTCAAAGGGCTACAACTTTTATGTTTTGAGTTTTCTTCAATTCCTAACAGAATTTTATGAAATCAATCTGATAGACAGACCTTCCATAAACTTAGTTGATTTTTTATCGAATCTTATGCACCTCACTATCCGTCTTGATTCCAAACGGCTATTTCCACCTATACTCATCCCGATATGACTTCATATGTCTTAAATATAACATTAATACTCATTTAACACGTCCACACCTAGTTCGAATTTAAAAAATATTACATTATCTCCCCCTTTGGATCATTCGTCCTGATTGTCTGGCTGTAACTTCGGCTAACTCTGGACCTTAAACGGGTCTGTTGGAAACATGAACTTTCATGAACACTTGCATACTAAACTGAATGAATACATGATTACTGAACTGATGATATATTGAACTGAATGACTACTGCATTGACTGAATAGTGAGCTGACTAAATATTGAAGGACGTGGAGATTATAATATAAGGTCTGAATGAAAAGGTTAGTTACCATCAACATTTCTCCGAAACACCTTCCATCTATCATAGCATATCACAAGCATCACAGGGCATCATAATGCGCATACATGAAACATATACGTGAATACTGGTCTACCATGGATACGTGAATACTGAACTAACATGGATATATGAATATTGAACTAGCACGAATATTTGAGTACTGAACTGACATCAATATCTGAGTACTAAGCTGGCATGAATATCTGAGTATAGGACTGACATGAGTATCTGAGTATTGAACTGACATGAGTATCTGAGTACCGGAAACTTAAATGTTATAACATGATACGTGAAATACTGGCTGTACATCCGTAAATTCTGGTGGCAACTCTAACTCATAAGCTAATTATCCGACCCTTCATAGGATCCTATACGGCCCGATGTATCTGGGACAGAGCTTTCCTTTCTTCCCAAATCTTATAACACCTTTCATAGGCGAAACTTTCAGAAACACCCAATCATCAACTTGAAACTCTAGGTCTCTATGTCGCACGTCCGAATAGGACTTTTGGCAGCTCTGAGTTGTCTTCAAATGCTCTTCAATCAACTTGACTTTCTCCATAGTCTTATAGACCAAATTTGGTCCCAACAAATCTGCTTCACCTACTTTGAGCCAACCAGTTGGCAATCTACACCTTCGCCCATATAGAGTCTCGCACGGTGCCATCTTGATACTAGAATGGTAGGTGTTATTATTATCAAACTCAATGAGAGGTATGTGATCATCCCAATTACCTTTAACATCAAAGACATATCCTCAAGTGTCTGAATAATATGCTCTGCCTGGCCATCTTTCTAAGGATGAAAACTTGTGCCTAATCCTTTCTGAAAGAACTTCTAAAATTTCATTTTAAACTTAGAACCACGGTCCGAAATGAAGGACAACGGAGTCCCATGCAATCAGACTATTTCCTGAATGTACAACTTGGCATAATCTTCTGCCGACTCTGTGGTCTTTACTAGCAAGAACTGTGCTGACTTGGTAAGTCGATTTACAATCACCCAATCAAATCATTCTTTCAAAATGAGCGAGATAATCATGTTATAAAGTCCATATTTACCATCTCCACTCAAGAATATGTGTATTCTATGGTAAAATACTGGGCTTTCTGATGCTCGAATTTCACTTGCTGATAATCCGGACACTTGGCCACAAAGTCAGCGACCTTCTTTTTCATGCCGTTCCACAAATAAATCTCCTTAAGACAATGATACATCTTTGTGGAACCTGAGTAATAGAATACCTGAAATTCTAGGCTTCTAACATGATCCTCCTTCTTTAAGTCCATCTATGTCTGGAACGCATAGTCCGTCTTGGTACCTCAAAGTACCATCATCTCCCCTTGTTCAAAAGTCATCGTCTTATGCTTGTGCATACCCTCTTTCAGCTGCAACAAGTAGGGATCATCAGACTATTTCTCTTTTACTTCGGCTACTAAGGAGGAACAAGTCCCGTTCTGGACAACAACTCTACCATCTTCGGAGTCTGAAAGTTGAACTCTTTGCTTGGCTAAGTGGTGAACTTCTTCCACCATATTTCTCTTGTCTGCCTCAATCATGAGCTATACTTCCCATGCTTAATTATCTATTTAAGGTACTTCCTGAAAACACTTATAGATTTGTTGTGAGCTAAGTCTTTGACCAATACTCTGAAGATTAGAGTCTCGTCCAATGGAACTACCTTCGTGATACATAACTGGGCATGATTTTATAGTTTTTACATCCTATGCTAACTATGCAGGTTTCAAATCTCCAACTGGACTTACTGACGATTTTCACATCTCCCCCTTAGACCAAAGGTTAAGGTCTTGTACTTGCAAATCCTTCTCTTTTGTTGGGATCCGAACAAGTTTTCTTATCTTCTATAATTCTTTGTACTTTACCTCAATGAAGACTCACCTTCGGACTTACTTCTGAGCAATCTTTCTTACTAGGAAAAACTAGACTATTTACATAACAGAAAGATAATGTATTCGTAACTATCGTATATAATATTAATGTTTTAACTCTGCTCACACTGTCAATCTTAAGTAAACCTCTTTTCCTTAACTCTTAAAAGCTATTCTTCTGTAGCTTGCTCTCTTACTGCCTAGTTGTTTTTTTTCTCCATTGTCATTGTACTTCGTGTTCAAATTAAACTCTTTGGGTTCTAACACGCAATCGGTATTTCAAATTGTTACCCACTGACTAGTGTTAACCTAGCTAAGTAAATCAAATCTTACATCTACTAGCTCTGCTGATATTATTAATTCACTATATCTACTCAAAACTTACTTACTACTCTTTTACTAACCACCTGCTAGCATCATATTTTCTTGTTCTGCTTTGAATAACTAAAGTGAACTATAAGGTTATTTATAACTTCGCTCACCATCCGACCCTATTCTACGGTCGCATACTATCTTTTTTTGAACTATGACATGGATCACACTTAGAGAAAGTTTATATGTCTTAAACGAAATTGGAATATCTAACCCCAAACTTTCTATACACTTCAAAATCATATGATACTATAAACATCCGGGGTAAACATTTAGTCACATAACCTAAGGGGGAACTAAACAACTTGCATAAACTTTCTAGTTCTGATTTGAATAAATTTGAACAACTTAAAATCATTTCCTAAAATTCAATATCGGTTGCTCTTGGTTCTCATTTCATAAATCATATCTTCTTAGTCATATTCATGAGTTGTACGAAAAACACATCACTGGTAATAACAACCATTTCTGACTCCTAAGTACCCTTAGGCACTCTTATGTCCAACACTATAGTGATCAATTCTATACCCACTACGGTTAAATTCTTATCTTGTTACACCGTAAGATATGACATTTGAACTATTATCGTCCAACCTGTGGCTCCATTTCCAAGACAACAACAACAACATACCCAGTATTATCCCACACCGTGGGGTCTGGGGAGGGTAGTGTGTACGGAGACCTTACC